TTGAGGAGAATTATTAACGAAGAATGTAACAAATACAAAGCCGGTGAACGGTGTGCTATCGATGGGCGCATCTTCATTCTCCGTTATCATGCTCAAGGGAAGTTTGTTCTTGGTCCTATTTTCAGGGAAGCTCCTACCCAATTCCTTGCTCTATACCCGTGCTTAGAGAATCACTATCTCTTTTACGAGGGTAGCCTTAATTGGGGAAGCTGGAGGATGAATCGTCCCCATCGCTGCTGGCCCACGTTAAGGCAAGAATGAGAGGAATGGTATGACCGAGTTGTTCCTGCCAGGATGCTGGACCTCCAAGAACTCTATCTCTTCGACGTCCTTGACTAGTCAAGTTTTGGGGGACCTCGCTACAGCTCGGACTCGATTTGTAGTCACGGTTCTAAGTCTGAACCAAAGAGTCCAAATCCGGCAAATCGTTTTGAGAAAACAGATTTTTGAAAGAAGTGCCAAACATGGACTGCTTTGCCAGATACAGAGTAAATGGGGTGTCTACACCTTGACTAGTCAAGTTTTCCATTCCTGAATACCCTTTTCTCATACCTACTGCACTTTGTTTTCGGAATCCAGCTTTCAATTTTTTCCAATTTCGGTATGGCATGATGGCCCCCATTGTCCTTAATATGTGCCATTTTTTAGGGTTATCACTCGCTGGTGCTCCTTTTGGTCCTGATTATCCTGATCTTAATATTTCCTTCTCTATTCCCTCTCTGAACTCTTCCTTTAGTGATTTTATGAGTTCTGAAAATAAGAAAGAGAGTCCTGTAACAGATCGAGAGTTCTTTTCTTTTCTTTTATATTGGCTTTACAAATTTTTATTTTTACCTCCTCACAGAGAATTATGCCTGAATTTGCCCCTCTTACTAAGGCTCTTGCTTCGGCTAAGAAGATAGCCTTAGCTCCTTATGTCCTGGGTCATGTATATAGAGCTTGCTCTTAGTTTTTGAAAAACCTCTAGATGCCAACCAAGGAGGACCACTCTAGGTACTACAACTTTGGCTTTTTGCCTACTTTACTGACTTACATTCGAGGTGCTTGAGATTCTTGGTGCAAAACCCTAACACTTATGGAATGATGTATGCCAAAGTTTTCCTCTACCCTTCTGGCTTTGCTTATTACCTCTCTTTCTTCCATTAACTCCCAATTTCCCCCCTTTCCACCTTATTCTGCCCTTTTGGGGCTAACACAGGGCCAGCATGGCTGAGGACTTTCTTGGCTGACAGAACCTGCTCTAACCCCTTACACAGAGATATGTGGGCCTCTATTCTAATTCCAAGAGAGCTCTACATTGGTACCTCGAATTTTTGAGCTTATAAGTGTATTGCTGAACCCTACTGCCCTACCTAATTTGCTAGGCAATTTGGGCTTACTCAAGGAATTCCTGTCCCTCTTTGCAACCAAACTAACCCAAATCTTGTAACCAGGGAGTTGAAAGTGCCAAAACTAGGTTGGATGAGGCAACCTCTAAGTTGATACAAGATTTGATTGAATTCAAATTCACTCCATTCATTCCACACGGCATCACATTGAAGAGGTACCATAATTGGTAGACAGCTAATATGGAGGTGCACTTGGCTATCTCTCCCCAGGATTTGTTGGTAGGGCTAGATGTGCCATCTCAAGCCAAGTCCAAAGAGACTGGGACCACTATTACTTCCTTCATTGCCCCTGTCATCCCAGTTCCTACTCCTGCTGTCTCAGTGCCTGCTCTTGCTACCTCACCCCCTCTTCCTAGAATCACCAGGGCTATTTCGAAGAAAAGTATGCATTTCTACTTTCCCTTTCTTTTTTCCTTTTATGATGTCTTGCTTATTTACTTATAGCTTCTATTTGATGTAGGAACTCCACAGGAAGACTCTTCTCAAAGGGCTCAAGCCTTGACCATTCTTAGGGGCAAGCAACAGCAACAAAAGAAGAGAAAAATTTTGCTTAACCCTAATGAAGAGGTACCTGAAGTTCACACAAAAAAGGAGGAGGCAGAAAAGGAAAAAGAAATACCACTAAAAAGGAAAAAGAAGATGACAGTCTTTCCTTCTGATCTTACCAAGGCTTTAACTAATAACACAGCTGTCAAAGTAGTGGAGCAAGAGCACTCTAAAGAGATTATTGTCTTTTAAATTTTTGAAAAGAGGAGGTAGCAACAAATACTAAGTGATGAAGCTGATGTTGCTACTACATTGCAAAAGGAGACTACAATGAGGAAACAAACAGCTGAACATTGCTCCATTCGTAGCTCTCCAACCATTACCATTATCACTACTGAAGCTGGTAATTTCTTTTAGTCCCTTTTAGAAATTTCCTTTTCCAGGATTTAGCATCAAATTAACACTTTTTTCCTTTCTTTTGTTTTTTTGTTTTTTTTTTTTTATATATACAGCAGTAATCAGTCCATTTCCTCCTCATTCGACACTGGCTTCCCTTTCTTTGCTCATTGATAAAGGGCTATTCTCTACTTCTGCAGAGCTACAGGCAGCCTTAAAAGGAAAAGGGAAGGTTAACACTAAAGTTCCAGTGAGTGTAGAGCCCATCCAAATGATACTCCAACTCTCTGGCTCTACACTTCTTATGCCTTCTTCCTTTCCTTCTTTGAGACAAACATCCCACTTTCCTTATGTCCAGGCCTAACTCCATATCTGCCCCATCTATCATTTGTCTCATCTCAATTTACTCCTACAATCTTGGTTGCCCGTCTACCTACTGAAAGCACTCCAATTGTCACTTCTCCTCCAGTGGCAATTGGCCTTTCCAAGGATGACACTGGAAACTCATCCACTTTTTTTCCCACCATCCAGCTCCAGTCCCTCTTCTTTTGACTTGCTGGTGGCCAGGACAATAAATGCTGCTGGGGAAACTTCAACTCCTTCTCCTATCCACATGCTGCCATCTCTTCCTTCAACTAATGACTCCTTTGTACTTCCAATGTTAGAGGAAGAGATGGACATTTTTGAAGCCTGCCTGGCTAGCCTATTTGATATACCTTCACCAGCTTAAGCAGCTAGTAGTGAGACTGAGCCATTAGTCCTTGCTGACTCTCTTCTGGAGATTATTGAGAGCTCTTCCACTGGCAGAGAAGTCTCTTTGCCTCAAGTAGACTTAGGCACCTATTTGGATTTGCTGAAATCATTCTTAAGGATCCCATTCGAAGCCTTACAAAAGCCCATAATTAAAAATGGTTTCCTCCACTGTTGCAAAGTTCTTAAGCAATCCAACATGGCCTTTTCAAGCCACTTATCTCAGGTAGCAGCCATTGTGGACTTCTATATCATATCTGCCATATGGACAAGGCTGTAGAAGAGGAGCTGCTGAAGGATAAGGAATTTGTCTCCCATATATGTGCTGAGGTGTTTAAATTAAAGGGACAACATTCCTATGCCTTTCAGTTTCGAACCCAACTCTAGGAGAAGAAGGCCCAACTGGAAGAAGAGCATGCTGATTTCATAGGAGATGTACAGACCCTTTACTGCTCCATGAACGCTCTCTCGGAAAACTTCGTAATCAGCCCAGCCGACCATGGACTGCTGAACTTCTGGCAGAAAAATCTGTCACTCAAACTCGACTGCTACATTTGGGTCACGGATGATGGAATCCGCCTCCGTCATCAGTTTGTTCCCAACAAACACCGTAAAACTCAATGGGCGTGGTGTCGTACTGGTTTCACCTCTCGAACAAGGGAAGTTACCTCGTTGTTGTTTTTTCCTTCAAGGTGACCTACTTCGGTGATTTGGAGATTGGCATTTCTCATGCTCCCTCGACGTCTTACTCATTGTGAGTGTAGGCTCGTCACTCCGGTTCATCTCTGCGTCCAGCTCTGTGAGTGTCCTACTTTCTCCTCTGTTGTTGAAGAATAGTTTTCTTGCCATCCACAGTTGTCGACATTTATTTTTTCTTCTCCTAATTTGTTGGATTTGATTACAATAATGGAACCCTCGCGCACGTAGCCCCCGCCCCATTTATTGATTACGGCGGCCGTACTCCCGAGGCGATCTCATCAATGCTCGCATTCCATGAGACATCGATATTCAATGTTCTAGTTCATTTCTTAACTGGGGCAAGGACAGATTCGTTAATCTTAGCGGCTAAGGATTCGCTAATCTAATTGGCCAAACCTCAAGGCCTTGAGCCGATAGGTTCATATGCCCTAGCCATTCCATGAGCCACCGATATTCGGCGTTCCAGTTTATTCCTTAACTGGGGCAAGGACAGATTCGTTAATCTTAGCGGCTAAGGATTCGATAATCTAATCGGCCAAATTTCAAGGCCTTGTGCCGATAGGTTCATGTGCCCCAGCCATTCTATGAGCCACCGATATTCGGCGTTCCAGTTCATTCCTTAACTGGGGCAAGGGCAGATTCGTTAATCTTAGAGTCTAAGGATTCGCTAATCTAATCGGCCAAATTTCAAGGCCTTGTGCCCCAGCCATTCCATGAGCCACCGATATTAGGCGTTCCAGTTTATTCCTTAACTAGGGCAAAGGTAGATTCGTTAATCTTAGTGGCTATGGATTCGCTAATCTAATCGGCCAAATCTCAAGGCCTTGTGCCGATAGGTTCATGTGCCCCAGCCATTCCACAAGCCATCGATATTCAGTGTTCCAATTCCTTAATTGGGGCAAGGGCATGTTTATGAATTGATTAGGCTAAATTGGAAGACGGCTCAATTGCCAAGATACGCAGTTATCTAATCGACAGTTATTTAGTGGGATGTTTAATTTACTCATCTAATGATCCTACATCCTATTGGATTGATAGCTAGCACGTGCAATAGACAGTAGTCATTTTACCCAAAGTAGTGAAAAGCAAAAATCTTCATTAATAACAATAATTGAGTACAGACAATAGTGAAAAGCAAAGGAAATTTTCATTAATAAATTGAGTACAGATAGTAGTCATTTTATACATGAAAATTACCTTACATCATTAGAAATCTACTAACAAAAATTTACAAGAACCATGCATGGAAGATGCCTAACAAAAATCAAAATGTTACCCTAGTCAATCTTTGGGGTCAAACTCCAGCGGCTTCACGTCCACCTGCTTGTATGGAATCGGCTGGGCCAATGTCACATTAGTGGCAGTGAGGGCTTTGAACCAACCGTGTTTGAAGCCCCGATTCTCGAATTTGGGGACTTCCTCCACATAGTTCTCCAAGGCGGCATCCTTCCCAGCTTCGAACGCTTTGGAAATCTCAGAGTCGGCTATTTCCTTCGCCTTCTTCGATTCTTCCAAGTCGGCTTCCAGTTTGGTAATCACCTCCTTGGCTAACTTGAGCACATATTCAACCGTGTTTTCCCTTTCCTCGGGGGCCAATCTGAGCTGGTCAGAACTTTTCGCCTTTTTTTTTCTCGGCGTCAACTCTTACGCGCTCATCTGCCGTTGTCGCCGCCTCGAACTCGGCTCTTTGAGAGGCCTCCACAGCGTTGCTCTTCTCATTCTCAATTTTGGCTTCCAAAAATCCGATCTGCTCAATGGCATCATGTTGGCGGCGGCCGATCTCGGCTATCCTGCCCATCGTCTTGCTTTTCTCATTCTCAATTTCGGCTTTCAAAAAGCCGATCTGCTTAATGGCATCATGTTGGCGGTGGCCGATCTCGGCTATCCTACCCACCGTCTGCAAAACAAGAAGTAAAAGTATTAAATAATAATAAATAAATAATAAAATTATTATTAATTAATAATATATGTTTATATGCATATAGGCGGAAGATTGAAAATAATGTTACAGCTTCGAACGCTTTGGAAATCTCAGAGTCGGCTATTTCCTTCGCCTTCTTCGATTCTTCCAAGTCGGCTTCCAGTTTGGTAATCACCTCCTTGGCTAACTTGAGCGCATATTCAACCGTGTTTTCCCTTTCCTCGGGGGGCAATCTGAGCTGGTCAGAACTCTTCGCCTTTTTTTTCTCGGCGTCAACTCTTACGCGCTCATCTACCGTTGTCGCCGCCTCGAACTCGGCTATTTGAGAGGCCTCCACGGCGTTGCTCTTCTCATTCTCAATTTTGGCTTCCAAAAATCCGATCTGCTCAATGGCATCATGTTGGCGGCGGCCGATCTCGGCTATCCTGCCCATCGTCTTGCTTTTCTCATTCTCAATTTCGGCTTTCAAAAAGCCGATCTGCTTAATGGCATCATGTTGGCGGTGGCCGATCTCGGCTATCCTACCCACCGTCTGCAAAACAAGAAGTAAAAGTAATAAATAATAATAAATAAATAATAAAATTATTATTAATTAATAATATATGTTTATATGCATATAGGCGGAAGATTGAAAATAATGTTACGTCATGTACCAATATGGCCGATTGAACTGCTAATGCTATTGACAACAGATCAGGCTCTGCACAAAAAGCCGTCCTGTCAGCCAACAGGGAAATTGAGGAAGCCATACTCAAGGCCATAGCCGGATCTTTTAGAGCCGACGCGTCGGACGCAATCAGCACGTTCTTTATCCTTGGTTGGAACCTAGCCTTGGATCAAAATGCTAACAAATTGTAGATTACTAACCAAAGACTAGCTGACAGAAAGCAGGACATGGCTATAAACATTTAGCTATTCCCATCCCTTAGGAATAGAGAATCAATTGTAAAGGAACAACTGAAACATTGTACTGATTTTTGGGCCAATTTATGGCTACATGTATTCAAATCCATATGAAATGAAAACTCTTTGTTTTCTATTTGAGTGTTTCATGCTCTTTCATTATCCTTACTTAGCATTTTCTACACTCCTTGTGTTTCCCACACAGTTGGATAATAAGGCTTCAAATATCGGCAATTAATTTTCTTGGGATACACATAACCATTTAGATTTCTCAAATGGTAAGCTCCTCCAGGCAAGACTCTATGAATTTGATATGGTCCTTCCCAATTAGGTGACCATTTGCCAAATTTATGGCTCTTAATTTCTATTGGCAGTATTGTTTTCCATACCAAATCTCCTTTGGGGACTGAGCTTTGGGGACAGATGGCCAATCTAAGCAGAGTTTGCAACAAGCTTTGGGGACTGAGCTGAGATTAAGTAGTGCTTATCACCCACAGATAGATGGCCAATCTGAACTGACCATTCAAACATTGGAGGACATGTTATGGATGTTTGTGTTAGACTTTCAGGGCAATTGGGAGACTTACCTTCCTCTAGCCGAATTTGTGTATAATAACAGCTATCATTCGAGCATTGATATGGCTCCGTATGAAGCTTTGTATGGTAGGAAGTGCCGTTCTCCAATTTGTTGGGCTGAAGTAAGTGATAGACCGTTGTTGGGACCAGAACATGTGCAAGAAACAACTGAGAAAGTGAAATTGATTTAACAACGCCTGAAAACTGCACAAAGCCACCAAAAGAATTATGTTGATGTCCGAAGAAGGGACAGAGAATATGAAGTCAGGGATCACGTGTTTATCAAAGTAACTCCGATGAAGGGCCAAACGCGGTTTGGAGTGAAAGGCAAGTTAGCACCGAGATATGTTGGGCCGTATGAGATCCTTGCAAAAATCAACCCCGTGACATATCGAGTGGCCTTACCTCTAGTGATGGAAAATATGCACAACATTTTTTATGTTTCCATGCTTCAGGAGTATCTACGAGACCCATTACATGTCATTGAACCAACACATGTGCTTTTGAAAGATGATTACACTTATGAGGAGAGGCCAATACAGATTGTTAATCGCCGAATCAAAAGACCAAGGAACAAAGAAATCCCATTGGTGAAGGTTGATTGGCAAAACCATAGAGGGACTTATGCAACTTGGGAAACGGAAGAAGGTATGATGAGGAGATACCCTAAATTGTTTCCATTGGATTCGGTATTTTTCCAAAATAAAGGTAATCCGAGTTTGGAGAACCAAACTCTTTAAGGGTGGAAGACTGTAACAACCCCGATCCATGTTTAACCGTTAAACCATGATTAAGGATGCTAATAAGTAATTAAAATGAAATTCTGACTTAATTGCATATGTGTTGCATTATTTGTGTTTCTATCTATCTATCGTAGAAATATCTGTTTGTATTTTTGGTTCTGTTCTGCGAATTAAAGGCCTTATCGGCATCTGATCATAAAATTGACTTAGTATATGTGTTATTTGGCATTTTTAGAAATTTATGGAAGGTTTAATTAAAATTTAATTCGGAACAATTAAATTAGAATAATTTTATGTCCAAGTGATTAGTTGATCAACAAATTAATTAAGCCACTAGCCAAGCCTATATAAGGCTCCCATATGTGCCTTCACTTATTTTTTTCATCATCTCAACACATTTGAGCTTACACATACAAGTAAAACGCAGGAGAGAGAGAGAGAGAGAGAGAGATAGAAGAAAATTGAGATCAAAAGCTAAGAAAAGTGAGAATTGCTAGGAATTGTTGGAGACTTGCAAAGAATTTGGGAGTTAAAGCTTCTCCACTTGTGCAATCTAGACTCTAGGTAAGAATTCAACCCTTAGATTGTATATTATGAATGCTCAGGCTATGAATTCCCCAAGCTAGAATTGGAGAAATGAACTCAAACCATGCATGCATGCATATTTCATAGCATTTTGAAGTTGTTTTCCAAGAATTTCCTCATGCATGTTACTAATTCACCTTAGTTTTGAGAAATCATCAAGTTTCATGTTATTTTGTGCAATTAGATCATGTTTTGGAAGTCTTGAAGTCAAGGCAAAACATGCATGTTATGTTTTCTAAGAATTTGGTTTTGTTTTACACAATTGGCAAGCCTTTGGGCTTTGATTCTGTGAAATTTTTGAATTCACCATAATTTCATCATTTGCAAGTGTTTCTTATAGTTTTCTCAAGTTTTTGGCCCAAAAGACCATGTTTTACAACTTTGCATTTGAGTTTTAAGCTGAGAAGAGCAATCTGGAAATTTCAGAATTCTGTTCTCCGCTCGAGCGGCCGAACCTGCACTCGAGCGACCACTCTGTGATCTTATACTTCCGCTCAAGTGATCAGAAGTCCGCTCGAGCATGAAATGCAAGCTCCCAGAAGTTTCATGTTTTTGCAGACCGCTCAAGTGACAAGAGTTGCGCTCGAGCGAGGACCTGAGTCTCACGCTCAAGCGTCTGTCGAGCGTGAAAATCACATAACCAGTACTTTTTCAAAGTTTGCAGACTGCTCGAGTGAAGGAAGTTGCGCTCGAGCGTTATCTTACATGTTTGCATGTTCGCTCGAGCGAAGGAAGTTATGCTCGAGCGGGACCCCTGTTTTCAGCAAGTTTTGTCAAGGGTTCCAAAGTGCATTTTGGCATCCACATTGCATCCTTGGCATTCCTAGGCCATGATTAAGACTCAATAAGAGGTTAAGACTTAGAAACACACTAAGAATGAAATGAAAGAAGTTATGTACCAACTGAGAGTATGTTTTAAATGTGTATTTGTTATGTGCTGACGTAGGTTACGTGCCATAAACCGTTTGATTAGTCTGCTCGGTCTGTCTGCACTCGGAGCCATCCGTGAGTAATAACTTAGTAAAGCTATGTTCCACTTTATTTATTTTCCGTATGATGAAATAAGATCTGTTTCCTGAAATGTTATGTTCTGCACAATGAATGCTTGTCCAATTTCTGACAATGTATTCGTGGTATCCTTAGCATCATGCGATATCTGTTAGCTGTTACCCAGAAACGGAGGTTCCATTATGGAACTTATTATGTCTTCACTTTGTTACCCATACCAGAGGCTCCATTATGAAGCTCAGCATATCTGTCATCTGTTACCCAAATCCGGAGGTTTCTTTATGGAACTAGTTACTCATAACCACCATATGTTCTGCATCTGTTCTGTTAGCGCTAATGGATATACCACATATGATTAATCATGAACTCTAATTTCTGTATATGATTTGAACAAGATTATGAATATGGATCTGCTTCTATTTTAGAAATAAATATGAATCTATTTCCTAAATCTGATATGGGCATCATTCATTAAAATCCTTTACTCTGTTCTTATTCATTGGGCTCTCGCTCACTATTTATATTATGTATGTAGGTGAGCAAGTGCGTGACCAGGCCTAAGCTGCTGCTTGGAAGTTTTGGGGTCAGCCAGCCACCGTGCCTCTCGGGGAGGTTCCCGTGTCTAGAAGTTGAATTTTGTGGGCCATGTCAAGAGTTATTCTGTGTATCATGTTAAGAGCATTTATGTTTTGTCTTATTTTGATATCTATATATTGGGCTAAGTCCCTTTTAATGACGCTTGTATGGTGTTATAAGACTTATATGGACGTGACATCTTACGTGTATATTTTATAAGGTTTCAAAATTCTATCTCATACATGTCTGCACAGCTCTATGGACTATGCATATTTAGTATATTTGCTTCCGTAGCCCCTAATTATATGTTATTCTGTTAAGAAGACTTTGATAATCTGAAGATTACTGGCCGGTTACGATGCTAAACCTATAGGGGCGGGTTTGGTTCGTTACAATTGGGATCAACCTACGGTTTCTTTTCCCCACCTTCTTCAAAGAGGACCTTGGAAGCAGGTTCATAGCTGCCTCATTGTCCACTAACACCCTATTCATTTGTATACCATCAAAGAAAGCCTTGATATATAGGGGCTTAACATACTGGGTCATAGATATTGTAGGGTACTCGAAGGGGTATGAGAGGTTAATGCATGCCTCCTCACTTTCTTCATCAGTTTCCATTGGCTAGGCCACTTCTGACTCGTCTTGAACCATGTTGGCTTGTGACTTCACTAGAAACTAGAATGGGGTCATCTTTCTGACCTTCTTGGTTTCCCTCTCCAGCTTAGAATTTCTATGGCAGCACATAAACCATATTTACTGGCACTGGAGGGAATAAGCCAAACTGCACCACTAGCTGCGATTGCTCTCCTTCTATATGGATCTGCTCTAAAGCTTGGAAGGCATCCTCCATACTGCACTTTGGTACCTCAGTGCTGGTGGGTTCCTTCGAAGCAATTCGTTTGTGTTCTGCTCCTGTTGTCTTTTCGACTAAGAATGTCTGTTCAGCTATGATGGCTTCATTTTCAGCCAATTCCTTCTCTTGGCCTTGTTCAACTTCTCCTTCTATCTCACTATCACTTTCCATCAAGGACTTTTCAAGACTTGCTATGCTGGATCTTTCTTTGGCTTTCATTTTAGCATGAACTTTAGCCAACTGTTCTCTACTGGCATCCTCTTTGATCTTAGGAGCAGGCCTTGAACCTTCTCCTTCTTCTATGTGGTCTTTTGGCTATGCCAAATAGGTACTTTCTCCACTTTCTTTCAGGTCCTTCTGATACTGAGTGTACCTTCACTGGATCTTTCTCCTTTGGGACCTGGAAATTACTAAAACCATGTCTGGTTCCCTTGTTTTGGGGGTTTTGAGCAAAACCCAATTATTTGGAGCCACTAAAGGAGGCTTGATCATCATTCCATTGTCTCCGAAAGTCTGTCTTTGTGCTGGTATGAATTTAGGTTTGCTCTGAATGACAAACCAATCTGGAACCTTAGGGACCCATGAATCTGCTGCTCCAGATGCTGGGCTTGCTACCCTTGTCTTTGTAACTATCTTCGAAGCAGTTCTTGGAGGCCAATTATTAGGCCTGGTTCCCTATCTTAAACCAAATTTAGGCTTCCCTTCCGGTTGATTGCCTACCTGGTGGCTTGGTTTCATGCAGGGGTCGCTTTCCCTTTGATTGCATCCTAGTGTCTAGTGAGCAAACCAAGGATGAATGCTATCTAGGACCAGTTGGATATGGCCTTCTATTGTAAGTGCTGGTTGGTTTTCGGTCTTTCTGCGCATCTTTATAATACTACTTCCCATCAACTGAGAGCCGCTTCAGTCATTTGTAACTTATCATGCATTTAGGACACATCTTCTGCACTATAGCTGCTTCCAGGGAGTCATCATCCAATATTTCTTCATTAGAGCCATCCTTTTGGCCTGCAGAGTTTTGTCTACTAGCTGGTGGACTTCTGGTGTCCTTCTTGAAGGCAGCCTAGCTAACCACATGCATCTGCACAGTGACTTTCTCCAATTCCTTCAAGGATAGATTTTGGAAATCTGGCATGCCAACTAATGTGGGCTGAAAGATACCACATTGAGGCCACTTAAGTTACATTCTTAGCCTTTCAATTTTGTTTATTTGGTGGAGATGATGTGTTTCGTGAACTTGTACAAATTTAGCAGGAAATACGCAAATTCAATCAAAAAAGGTGCGAAAGTAGATCATTCGTGCGAGAAGTGAAAAATTCGAGCCAACTAGACCACCGCACGTACGGCCAAGCCCACCACCGCTCGAGCGGCCCACCTAGGGACGCGTGCACAAAATTTTAAGTGTGTTTTGCTGAGAATAAAAGGAAGAAAAATAGGCTAACCTAGGGTTCGAAAATTATTAGAAGAAAAGAGGAGGCTAGGGTAAGAAAAAGGGTGATTTTCCTCAAGCTTGCTATTCCATGGATGGTGCTTCTCCTTCTACCTCTTCCCACTCCTCCATGAGTGGCTAGTCTTCTTTTCTAGGGTTTTGATGAAACCCTAGCTATGTAATTCGGTTTTTCATAAGCTTTGATTGTGATTCGGTTTGAATCAATGTATGGATGTTTTAGAAGTTTATAATAATTATTCTTTTCATCTCTTCAAGTATTTTACTCTCTGTGATTGTTTAATGCTTTCCATACATTAGTTTTCTTTGTGTTTGTGTTCAAAGTACGAGACAAGTCATGCTACGAGAGACGGGTCGTGTTGCTACCATAGTTTAGAGCAAACGCCTCGTGCTACTCGAGATGATTCGTGCCTGTATGTTGAATGCAACAACCCTCTTGATCAATATTTCAAACTTGTAGTTGTGAAATATTGTGCATTTCAAACCGGATTGTAATTATTGGCTAATGTTAAATCTCATTTATGTGGTTAGTGGTGAATTCTTTGCCCTAGGATTTTCCCCAAAAATTTATATTTTAAACCCTAATTTTAATTTTCAATTTAATTATTCAATTTCATTTAATTCTTGTTTAGTCATAATATCCATCAATCTTTTTAATCAAAATTAATATAGGAATTTAGCAATTAAATTAGTTTAATTTCACAATTGTCCATGTAGATCGATACCTGGACTTGCTATTATTCTAAAAGAATTTGGTATAGTTTAGTGTTTAATTTTGGTGTGTGTAACGACCCATCACCAACATTGGCTGCAGCCTTCCCAATCTTTGGAAACAGGTCGGTGTCAATTCCCATGGCTTTTTCAGTCTTGGCTGGAAACTTTAGCCTTCTCTTCTAAATTTGTTCTTGGATCTTGTCTCGGAAAACAATATAATTTTTAGTTGAATGAGACCAAGAATTGTGTTATTTACAATATAGTTCTTTTAAGTTCTTCAAGAGTAGAGATTTTAACTCCCTTTGGTAACTTTAGGGAGTGTGCTGCAAGCAAATGATCAAAAATGTTATTTGCTTTTGTTATGTCAAAAGAATACTTCCTATGAAGGTCTTTCTTTTTAACCTGCTAGTATATTATAGTGTCTTGTCGAATCAGTGCATCGCAGGTCATAGGTTATTTTCCTATGATCTCTACTGCATTGATTTTGTAGTTAGGGTCCCTGTAATAGGTTTTATAGGATGCATTGTTTCGATCCTGTTCTTTTTCCAACAAGGATTCATATTTGGAAACTTTATAGGTTAATTCTACTAAGTCTCGAAATTTAGTTGCATCAAACTTCTTTCGACGCCTAATTCCAACACATTTTGAGCCACCTTACAAATTCAAGCCACTACTACAAAAACAGATAACGATCACACTTTTTTTGTGTGATGTATGTTATTTAATCACACCTTTTAAGCTTTATCAAAGTGTGATATTTGGGAGTGTGATTAAAAGGGGTCGTTTTTAATCACACTTTTTAAGTGTGCTTAATAACATTTAGATCACACCTTTTAAGTGTGATTAAAAATATTTAGATCACATCTTTTAAGTGTGATTAAAAATATTTACATCACATCTTTTAAGTGTGATTAATAATATTTAGATCACATCTTTTAAGTGTAATTAAAAATATTTAGATCACACCTTTTAAGTGTAATTAAAAATATTTAGATCACACCTTTTAAGTGTAATTAAAAATATTTAGATCACACCTTTTAAGTGTAATTAAAAATATTTAGATCACACCTTTTAAGTGTAATTAAAAATATTTAGATCACACCTTTTAAGTGTAATTAAAAATATTTAGATCACACCTTTTAAGTGTAATTAAAAATATTTAGATCACACCTTTTAAGTGTAATTAAAAATATTTAGATCACACCTTTTAAGTGTAATTAAAAATATTTAAAAAAACTAAGTTCTTTAATTCTTGGACCATATTTTGCATCTCTCTAAAAAATTTCTGACCTGAAAAATGAAAACACAAATTAATCCAGAAACCACTGATGCATATGAATAAACTAAAAAGTTAATTCAGCAAACTAAAATAGGAACATTAATCATTTCTGTTTGATCTTAATCATTTTGGAAGTAACTTCCCTGTTAACAATTAGATGCCATAGCAGCTCAGTGTCAATGACATTGTAATTAGGAGGTCACTAATGAGCACAGTATTTAAAAATGATAAATCTCAATACAGCTTATATTATTATTACTGTTGAACCATAATTTTAGGTACCCATAAATAAATAAATAAAAACTCAAGAAACCTTTGGTGCCTTGGGGTTCCTTGAGCCTTTGAAAACACTATTCCTCCATCCCCCCTCCAGCCACTCCCTCACCCCCTTTAGCCACCCTTTCCCTTCTCGGCGACTACTTCACCCTTCTCGCAACTCACCAAACATGTTTTCTTATTTTTGTTAGTATTTGTTTGGAAAACATGTGTATATTAAACATGTTTTTAGTTTTTGCATTTTTTTTTTGGGACAATATGTTTCCTGCTTTTTGTTTACAAAGAAGAAACAGAAAATTAGTTTGAGAGTAAAATATAATGTTAAATACTAATTACCAATGGATGTAATGAGAAAACAAAGATGGAGCAGAGTCACATAAAATACCATGGTCATCAAAGTCTCCTGCAGTCATGGTGGCTAACAAACTGTTGTTGACAAACTCAGAATCCTCAAGGTTGGAAAGAGATGTTCTTGCTGAGTTACTATTTGATCCATCTTTCTTCCTCTTATGCTGAGCAGCTGCCCCTATTAGCTTCATCCTCAATTTACTTGGAGATATTATACCACCCTACATTACCCATTTATTTATACCACCAAAAAAATTTTAAAAATCAAATACCACAATCAGGAAAAATACCCAAAAAGATTAAAAAGAAAAAGAAATTCAACATTGTAATAGAATCATTTGAACACTAAAGCCCCCCATTCAAGAATTTCATTCAAACACCATAATGGGTTCTCTTATCTTACTAATTAAAAATTTGAAAGATTTGTTTAAACAAAAATCAAATATTTGGGAAACCCATCAAGAATTTCTCTAAATTTCTTCTCTGCTGTTATTTAGGTCAAGAATTTCTTCTTCTTCTTTATCTAATAATGGATTGGATCACCTAATGACTAAAACTATATATTATTTTCTCTGCTGTTATTTTTCATATCTAATTTACTCTCTGTTAATTTCCCTAGCCTTAAAGCATTGTCACCTAGAGGTCAAGTTTGTGTGTTCTTTCTTGTGTGTTTGTTCTTCTTGTGTTTTGAGTCTTACCGATTATAGTTAGGCATTATGGATTGCTAACACCTTTGACATGTATGAACAAATTAAGTGGCTTTACTAAATGTGTCGATTCCCATCTCTTTCATTGATCATGGTAAACCTCATTCTTTTAGACTTGAGATGAAAGAGCTCAGCAACACTCAACAATCTCCAAAAAATCATAGAATTAACATATCATCTCTTATATCACACCTCTAAGTAGGATTAATCATTGATTGGATTCACCACAGAACTGTTATGGTTCTTGAATAAATGCAATTAAGAACACAATCCCAATCCTACTGCACTCAAGGAAGTGCAAATGTGTTTCCTTTTCAGATATCTTTCAAATTACAATGATTTACTTTATGAAGTATAAACAAGTATGTTCTTTCTATAAGAAAAAACACAAATAAATGAGTCCAAATGAAGAGAAAACCTCAAAAAATAAATAAACAAATAAAAGGGAAGGAAGAGAGTAGTTACAGAACTAGATGGTCTGGTCAGAAATATCTCAAGAAGCTTTACTCATCCCGTTGAGAATTACTCATCCCTGTTGAGAATAACAATTGTTACAACAACGATAAAAAGAAACTTTGAAGTAGTCAAATGAAATGAATCTAGAACAACATTCGGAACAAGCAAAGGTAGAAATCTATGCATTAGAAAATAATGAACACTTAACTGATTCATACAATTGGAGTGTGATCTATTCAGTTTTACACCTGTACATATGTTCTCCCCTAACAAATTGAAACAAATGCTAGTTATGAAAACTATCTAAGTGCTGCAGCCTGTAGGTGCTTTCCAATCCTCAATTAGTGCTACGTAATGTGAAGTTAAAATTGTAATTCAAACCATCAAATCCAAATAAACTTGGTGAAGAAACACACACACACACACACACACACACACAAAAATTAAATTATTGGTTTCTCCCAAATAATTTGTTGTGCTGTGCTCTAAGTAGCACTGACACGTGACAAGGGCACAGCTTTGACACAAGGCCACATTGATTTTCAAAAAATGTACGACACGATATGTCTGAAACATTTTTAAAAATTATACTTTTATAAATTTATTATATGTCAACTATGTGAATAGCTTATTTAGAGGTAATGAAAAAAAACAAAATAACACTAATTAAAATTAAAAGGTTATAAATTTCATAACCTAAAAACATCAATATATCAATCACATGACAATTAATTGCAATATAAAGAATGCAAAATAATTGTAGAATATAGAAATACAAATGATGAATTCATTTTATTAATATTTGAAAATATATTCAGGTTCCACATGTAGAGCCCACATTTAGGTTCCCCACACATGTTGTCAAAGTAATCGGGACACCATCCAGTATACCAATTACACTAAAATAATATCTACGAACTGAAATTACAAGCGCATAACCACCAATCAAACATTTCGCGAATGCACTATAATTTAAACTATTCCTTGGCACTTTTAACTCAATATTTTAATTTAAAAATCAAAAAATCATTAAAAAAATCAAAAAAATCAACAACTTATAACAACTTTTAAAAAAAAAAAAGGGTCAAATATTGTTTTTTCTCTATACTTTTTGTACATTTTTCTGTAAAAAGTCAACAAGTGATCCCAAATATAATTTTTTTACCTTATATTTTTGTCAAAAAATAAAAAAAATTTACTAAAATAGCATGTTAGGCAGAAAGTTACATATAACTCTAAAACAGGGAAAATTACTCCCTCCAGTGTTTCTGAAATTTTTAAAATTAGAGTTCTAAAAGGAACAAAATGCTCAAGGATTGCTTGCGCATATTTACATTATCTCCATATGGAAGAAACTGAAAAATAAAATAAAATAAATTGATGCATAAATAAATGTAATTTGGTGACACCTATAACAGAAAATTGTTGATCATATGTTGTATCACATCAGCTCCGGCGGAATTCACACAGTAAGTTTTTACTTGCACGAGCAGAACAAAAGAAAAAGGTCACTCATTAGAAATGTTGATACTACTATCTTTCCCAAACAAGAAGAGATGATAAACTACTTTCTTTCTCTTTTATCTCACTTTTATACTATCCAAACAAGAAGAAGATAAACTAGTACTACTATCATTTGTTTGTTTACTTCTCTCAAATTTTGCCAAATGGACTGAAATCTGATTGTGCTGACCCTCTTTTATCTGGAGGGGAATTCAAACTAGAGAGTTCCAATCCAATTCAAGAGGTTGACCTCCAAACCGCATTTTACTCATTGAGGTTATTATGTTTTTCCTTGATTCTGTAGTTAAATTAAAGAGAAAGAAGAAACTTGCCTGAATAGTACTGTGCGCCAAAAGTCTTTGTTTAGTTCCACTGAAGTCAATATCAACCCTTTCCCAGCTCATTTTTGTGAGACCCCTGATCATTGCCTCTACAATTGGACGCAATGAGGAAAGAGTGTGAAATGTGTGAAAATTAGGGAATAATCAAGAATAAATATTTTACTTACATATAGAGCTCAGAATAATTCGACAATCTGAAATGATGGTAATGAAATCATATTGAACTTCAAATCCTCAAGAGCATAATGAAAATTTCATTTACTTGTATAAAGTTCTTCACCAAATAACAGTTCTAGAACTTCTAGTATTACCTCTTCAATTTCTCTTTTCCATTTTCTTTCCACTTGCTATAACAAACCAGGTTTTGTGTGTTGTGTGTGTTTGTGTGTTTTTCTTCCAGTTTTGACTAAACCAAGACATGCTAGTTCGAAGCCCAACCTTGTTTCACACTGAAATTCATTTTCAGTTCTTTCATTCTTTTCACTAACTGGTATATGCTAGAACAGTCTGCATGCTTGGAAATTGAGCTAGCCCGATACACCTAAAATAATCCGGTACAAACCAGAAAATTAACTGGAACTGTGTTGAGTCTCAATTATTCCAGTTTCCTGTTAAAATGGTATGTACCAGCTGGTACAACATGGTGTTGAGCGGGATTCACAATATTGCCAGTAACTTTTTACTCTCTTTCACAATTCCAGAAAAACTAAATATACAAGTGAAATCTACATTTAAAATGAAGGAAAAACCTTTTTTATTTTAATTTTTAACTTGGTTTTTTAATGGGAAGTAATGGTTCTTGAATCTTGTAAGATTAGTGCTGTAGAACATGAATAACATTGACAAAAATTTGGTAACTAACCTTCCATATCAATGGTCTTGCATACATTGACTTGGCCCTCTAAAGACATTTCTTCTTGAGTATTCACAGGTTTTGCTAACTCCACATTTACAACAAGCGGGTATTTGTCAATTCTTGACAGATTTTGACGCTGAAAAAAAAAGAAAGAAAAAAAAGTAAGAAAATTTGGAAACACAATTCTAAAGCTCCATAAAGATTAAGAATTACCTTTGGGAGCTCACTTGGACGCCGCAGTGATGATGTACTCCATCCAACAAGATCTAAGAGGAAGTGTTAAGTTCTTCACATAAATTAGAGGATTTCAAAAAGAAGAAAATTGGAACAGCCTAACTAGTTTTTCATGTATTGCTTGAGCATATGTTTAAATGTCCTGACATTTTATCTCCAAATATTTTCCTACATAAACAAGTAAAAAATAATAAACAAATGTATATAGTATGGCAGGATACGATCATATCGTGCATTAGCGTAGGCAACCCGACACCTAAAGGACCGTAGAATAGATCTGCAGAGACAAGACAAGGAGTCAAGATAGGTTCTATATCATTTGTAGTCACAAAGAAACATTTGTTTGACTTCTGATCAGAATCTATTAAATTCACGAGGGCTCACAATAATGGAAGATCATCAGTATCATTGGCCATCTGAAGTAAAATAGGAGGTTTTTCATTATCACCATCTCTCAAGAATAAATGTTTCCCTGTTCTTCCAAGCAATGATGATGCATGAGCAGCTGCTTTCTCCAGGGAATAAAAGTCGCAAAATGAAAATATATCCTAAAAGAAGAATGATATATATACATCCTAAAAAAATAAAAATAAAAATAGAAACTCACGGTTCTCAGCATTTAACAAAATCCAAGTGAATTACCAACACCAAATGAAGATTTATAAAAATAAAAACTAATGAAAAGAAAAATAGTGTTCTGCAATAAGGATTCAAAAACCAAATTCATAAATCTATTAGATGTCATGATTGCCACATTCAAATGCTCAGATCAAAATTGTCCACATTTATTTGTTTCTGTGAGAATCCAAATATTTAACATCATCAAATCTTGATAAGAAATAGAGAGAAAAATAATAAAGAGGAATTCAGGACTAATACAAAGCCCAATATAGTAATCATCTTCCGATATCAAGATCAAAACGTATGAACATCATAATCACCAGTTACAAACCATCAAAAACAAAAACAAAAATAGAAAATAAATTTATAAAAATGATATTTTATAATTTGAGAGTGAAACAAATAAGACCATTAAGCAACTGACAGACTGACCATCCAATCTCTTACAATACAAAGAAGAAGAAACAAAAAACCCAATTGAGATTATTACCCAAATCTGATGAATCTTTAGGTCCAAAGAAGAGAGAGAAGAGTCAAAATCAAAAAGAAACCACTCCAAAAGTTGATACCATTCAAATGAAAAAACAAAGACAACCCACAAAGAAAAAAAAGCCCCCAAAACATCCCAGGAATTTATAGACAGTTGATCTGGTGACTAGTGAGTCCACAAGATCGTCAATAGTAATTTCATTTTCCAAAACAGTAAACAAGATCCTCAATAGAAAAGTGAAGAAACTGAACCTTCTGAGCAATCTGAGATTGCTTGTGGACTTCACGAGCCTCTTTCTTTCGTTTGCGCTCGAAATGATCATGGCGATAGCCATTTCTCTTCCTGTGAAGCTCTATGTAATCTCCTTGAGGCTTAACAAATCTTAAGAGATTAGGGATTTTTGGTTTTGGGCCCCCGGGGGGGAATGGAAAAAAAAAGCAAGGGAATTGAAAAAAAAAGAGAGGGAGACGGGTGGATAAAAAAAAATTAAAATTTTTTTTGGGGTCACAAATAAAATTTAAAAACAAAACAATGTCGTTTAATTTTTTTTTTTTTTTGTGATGAGGGTTGTTGTCGCTAAAAAAATTTATTTTTTGTTATAATAATTTTTTTTTGTAGTTAATGAAAAAAAATTTATTTTTTTTTAGTTACTAAGATTGAAAATTTATTTGTTTCATTTTTATTTTAATTAAAAAATATATTATTATTATTTTTTATTTGGTAAAAGTAGGGGTAATATTTTAATAAAAAATATTTTTCACTAAAATAAAAGTTAATTTTCTATGGTCAATGAAAAATATTTTTCTATGGCCTATTTTTTTTTGCTACTAAAAATCATGAACTATTTTTTTATGGTAGAGAAAAGGGAGCGACATTAGTGGTGGAGGTGGTGGATAAGAGATGATGGTGGTGGTGGTAGTGATGGTGAAAGATATTAGTGGTGAAGTTGTGGTAGTGGTATCGTAGATGGAGTGGCAGGGGTGAAGGAGAGGTAATGGTTGTAGTAGTGGTAGTAGTGGTAGTGGTGGTAGTGGAGTGGTGGCGATAGTAGTAGTAATGGTAGCCGTAGAGATGAAGTGGCGACAGTGGAAGTAGTGGTGGTGGCGGAATGACGTTTGCAGTAGTGGTGAAAGTGGTAGAGGAGATGGGTGGTGAGAGAGAGAGATGAGTGAGAGACGGATAGAAGAGAGAGAGAGAGAGAGAGAGAAACATGGACAGAGTGATGAGCGAGAGAGAGACAAAGTGGTTGCTAAAAGTGCATTTTCTTGTAGTGGATCGATAAATCGAGAGGGAGCTCAATAAATAGAGAAGACGGGAGGGAGACAGTGAGCAACGCAAACACAGTGGGAGAGAGAGAGAGAGAGACAAAAAAGAAAGAGATAGAGAGTGAGAGACAGAAAAGAGACAAAGAGAAAAGAGAGATGGACGAGAGAGACAGAGAGAGAAGAAAGATGAACGAGAGTGACAGAGAGAAGAGAGATGAACGAAAGAGACAGAGAGAGAAAAGAGATGAGAGAAGAGATAGATGAGTGAGAGACACACAGAGAGAGAGAGAGAGAGATAGACAGAAAGAAAAGAGTGATGAGTAAGAGAGAGAGAGAAAGAGAAAAGAGAGAGGAAGATGAAAAAATAGGTGAAAAGATATAGACAAAGAGAAAGAGAGAAAAAAAGAGCGAAAAGAGATAAACGAGAGAGAGATAAAGAGAGTTGAGCGAGAGAGATAAAGAGAAGAGAGATAGAGAAGAGAGACATAGAGAGAAGAGAGACGAGAGAGATAGACAGAAGAGAGATGGACGAGAGACATACAGAGAAAGAGAGAAAGACAGACAAACAGATAGACAGAGAAGAGTGATGAGTAAAAGAGAGAAAAATAAGAGAAACAGAGACACAAAGAGAAAGAGAAAGACAGACAGACAGAGAAGAGTGATGAGTGAGAGAGAGAGATAGAAAGATGAAAAAATGGGTGAAAAAGTTCCGTGTCTAAAGCCTCATCTTCTAGTAGTGAGTCATCTCTATCATTTATGGGTAGAATAGAGGTGCGGATTTGGGAATTGTATATTTTATATAAAAATCAAATTGAAATATTTTATACAATCACACCTATTTAGGGAGTGTGATTAAATATATATATATATATATATATAATTACACTTATTTAAAAAGTGTGATGAAAAAGCAGCACAGGGATTCTACTTTGATACTTAATAATCATTGTCCATTTGACTGTTAATTAGATATTAAAAGAAATACATATGAATAAATACACCTTGCATCTTGGATTGAGTCTAACATTTGATAAGCATCTAACTAGACTGAGTTTGATGTTGTCAATACTTTAGAGGTGCTAAAATTTTGTTCTAAATTAAATATGCCCACTTAAAAGTCATAAAACTTTATAACATAAAAATAAATAAGCAGTAAGCAGTAAAAGACCTGAGTGGCAGGTTCTTGACTCATACCTCTGCAGTCGTCCCAACGGTTGCAAACCTCATCCTCCCATTATCAGGATCCCTATGAACTATCAATAGATTAAAATAATTAAAAAGTCAAGAAAATACTAAAAACAATTATCTATTCTCTCTAATTTTCTTTTCATAAAAAATCAATTAAATAGCAAATTTCCAAACAACCAAGTGTTGAGTATATCTCAACCATTGGTATCATATTCGACCAATAAAAATGAGATTTTTTTTTTTTTTTTTGTCAAAGTGTGATCTTTAACTATTTTTGTAGTAGTGAGCTCAGGTAGCATGACCCTACATTTGTTTCGTGCCCTTTTAAATCTGGCAATAAATTAAGCAGCCTTTTCATTAGGGTTTTGGCTCAATCTTGCCAAGTCTGCTATAGAAAACTCAAGCTCTGTCTGGAAAAATTGGGCATGAAAAACCTTCTCCATTTGTTGCCAGGTTTGGATAGAGCCAGGTGTAAGGTTTATATACAATATGAAGGTTGCTCCAGTTAGAGAGTTTGGAAAAAGTCTCAGTTTGTGTAATCATTATTAGCGAACTCCCCACACTGGCCTGTAAACCTAGCAATGTGTTCCACTGTTGACTAGTTTCCATTTCCATAAAAAGGACAAAGTCTGATATTCTAAACCCTCTTGGATATACATGTATTCTATCTATCCATTTTGGGTAAGGTTTTCTGTACACCAAAGTGTGAACCCCCCAAGCCATAGGTCTGCATATCTCTCTAACAATATCAGCAATTTGGTCCCTAGGAACCATATTTTGCGTTGGTTGAACCACTATTGGAGGAACAAACATAGGGTTTTGAGGAACTCCATGTGCCTGAGGGCCTCTTGGTCCATATATAGGTACATTCAGGACTGACTATCCTTGTTGTGCTGGTTGCTGTTGAAGGTATGGCTGACCTCTTGGAATCTGTCCTGGGAAAGGCCCTGTGAAAGATGCTACAGGTGGAGGAACATGTGTTGTTTTTCTTCCAACCTCAGGAAATCCTTCCAACCCCCAGGGTACCAATTCAAACACAAGATTAGTGAAACCCCGTGTACCAGGTATGGCTTCGAACATAGGATTTGAAAACATCCTTATACCATTCCTTGTGCTAGCTCAGATCCACCAATTTGTATGGTTTCGCTGGTGGGCAATGGTACATTTTGATTTGCTAGTGGTGTCGAAGGAGCTTCATACCATGACTGAGGCACATGTGATGACCTCTCATGATTTTGATTACTAATCTGACCATTAGTTTGTCTATTATTTTACATAGGATGTTTATCTTGAGCCAATCTATGTTGAAGGGAATTCACATTTTCTTCAGCCTATCTTATGAAAGTTGGGTGATGGGAGTTCATTCGATCCAAAAAGGATGTTACCCATCTTTCCATTGTATATATTAGTTGTTGCCCCATAGCATTTACTAAACCTCCCCATTGATTCATTGGTTGGGTAGAAGGGACAGTCGAAGGTCCAATTTCATGGCCCTGTCTAGTATGTTGGACATGTGTTGCATATTCTAAAGTGCTGGTCTGTTCAACCATTTGCGAAGGATCTAATAGGATAGGTGCATCCATAGGATGTGACATTACTGTATCCTCTGGGTTAGGTACTTTTACCTTTCCTTCCGCACCCTCTTACAGGCGTTCATTTTCTCCTCTTAATCTACGTCTAGCTATTTTTAATAATCCCACT